TCCAGTTTGAAGACATCGAAAACTCCTGCTCCTCCTCCTAAGCTGCCGACTGCCCAAGCTTCTGCACTGTCTAAGTCGTCAAAAAAGTGATTTTTTGAAATAATAATCGTTATCTTGGATTTATTTTTTTCTTTGCTTTGGTAAGTGTAGACTTTAGCATTTTTGATTCGGGGGTATATTATTCTGTGCTTTACTTGTCAGTTTTTGCGTACTCTTGACTTCTTTCTAATGGTAGTGATTGCTTCCTCATTGGGTATTTTTACAATGTTTTGCACAATTGTGGTTTTTAATTCTTTGTTTTTGAATTTCTGGGCGGTTTGAGAAACTTTTTGTGTTTAGCTTCTGACGCTGATGTTGGCATTTACATCTTTCGCTTTCTACGGTTTTTGGACTTTTTGCTTTTGTTGAATGCATTGGTTTTTGATCTGGCCTCAGAGAATTCGGTCTATGCGGAATTGTTGATTTTCCTTATTTCCTTATACTTAAATTAGTTTCTAGATCGTTACTAACCTGGTGTTTGCTTAACATGGGTTAGCTCCGAGTTTGTTAGTGAGGGTAATGCTTGGTTTGTCACTGTTTTGTGGTTCTTTAGTCGCTCTAGTTAACCTACTAGGCTTGTTTGTGGCGGATCTCTTCCGTGTGCATCATGGTGTGTTTACGCGCCAGGAATTTACCTGTTATGGTACTGATCTACTACGCGTGTGATTGAATTCATGGTTACCAGTTTTTTTACGAATTTCGTGGTGGTTTTGTGTACGTTGAGGGAGAGGTAACGTTTTGACTGCTAAGGTGAAACAATTGGCTATATTTATCGATGCAACACGAATCTCGGGGACGGGTCAACTTTGCTGATAATGGATGACGTGGGTGTTTTCCGGTGTTAGGGTGTCATTAACAATTGCCATGTAGAAGCTTGAATGCGGTCCGAATGCCTCCGTGTTTTAAAATGTATGCGCATTAAGAATTTTCTTCAGTTAGTCTGAGATGTTTTTAGCTTCAGATGGTGGTGAGAATAGACATTGCATCAAATTATTAAATGTTGTCCAATTGTCATTCGTGTGGAATCCACATTTGCTGACCTCAAAAGAGGTTTTAGTGGTGACATTGAATGATAGTAGACATAGAGCTGAATGTGCCCTTAGAACTTTGGAAATATCAAGGGGACGCGTTCAGCTTGACAAAAATGTTAGGTAGCACTAAGATGGTTATGAAGTGGGTTAATGCTAAGGTTACACGGGTGAGGAGTTTTGCACCTGGGTCCATTACCATTGAGATGCTTATGGTATTTTATGAAGAATAGTAACATTACGAGAGGAGGCTATGGCAAATACAATCCCACAGGTTGTACATTCTTTAGGCAGCATGATACCCAGGTGCTAAAACGTCATGGAGGTTCCACTCATTTTTCCTGCATACGATTGCTTGGTGTTTGTATGTTGTCTAGAGGTACATAAAGCAGGTTTATTGAGATGAGACGTTTTCCTTTGTGTTTTATAAAAAGGTAAGGCTTTTTCTGAATCCGAATCATTAAACACTTGGAGTGTAACTTCAGTATGTAACTATCCAATTTTGTTTTCACTGCTAATTGCGATTGGGGAAGAGTGTGCGATTAAACTAGAGCTAACTCTGAGACTACCCCTTATAAATGAGATCTAAAGGTAACTGTCCTCATCTGTCATTGTTTAATGGGTTGTTTTGTTAATGAAACGGAACTAGTCAACTGTAGCCTTTAATATTAAAATTTTGAGGAATGTGAATACAAAGCTGTCATGGTGACACTTAGTCCACTACAAAGTACCTAAGCAAACATCGGAGGAAGAAATTAAGAGAAGAAATTGGCGACAAGAAGTGCAGTAAAATTTAGTGATACTTTTCAGTACCCATCACCAGCCACGTGCATTGCTTATGCACGCCAGTTGCTATGCACGGGTCGTTTTAAGGGAGTTGTATTCTCAAAGACTCCAGTAAGATGCTGCCGTATCTAAAAGAGCATAGAATAATGAAGGGGATTAAGCTCGATCAACGTTCTAAGAAAGTAGGCGATTGAGTGAAGCATAATCCTCGGTGATTTACAAGGTCTATTTACTGATCGCATGCATTCCCTCGGTTCTTAATTTGGATTTATGGTACCACATGGTTAGCCCATGCAGGCACTATGCCATACAACCAAGACTTCCAATCTGCTGGGTTAGCGCTCTTTGGTGTCTGCAACAGGCACTTCGTGATCACTGGTATTACCACTCACTCCTCCATTCCCTGAGCTCCACAAATGATCCTTCCACATAATTTACGACATTTCGTCTCCTAGTGTGCATTACGTCTGTGCAATTATTTGTCTCGTAAAAACGTATCTATTGGTACCGCAACACAGCGTCCCATTCATAGGCGCATACAAGCCGTGAAAGCCGTCCAGGCCTCACGCGTATGGCACGCATTTTGCGTACACTTTCTGGATGTGAATTAGGTCTGTGCCTGTCTGCTCTGGCTGCGATGCCAAATGGAAAATTAAGCATTCTTCTTCTTTGCTCTTTGATTGCTAAGGTGATTAAAATCTGTTGTAATTCATTAGTGCTATGAAAAAGATGCAAAACCATTGAAGGTGGCTCCATCGTGAACAACTTGAAAAAACCTTGGAAAAGTGGGTAGAAGGAAAAACCAGATCTTAGGGATGACTATGCAATATGTAGTTGGTAGTCTATGGATTTGTAAGATTAAATATTTGAATGAGGGTTGAAGTGATAGAACTGATGTTATGAAGCGTAGTGTATAATACCTCGCTTTTAGACGGTCAATATAACTTTCAACAAATTTACCACATTGCTTTTGTCGGATTGGTTGGCGTACGTCACCACAAAAGTCTCCATCTCCTCTCCTTTGTTGAATACATATTGTGGTGAAGTAGTCATTGTGATGGCTTAGCATGGCTGTGGAATCGAGTCTAAAATACGATTTGATCGGATTTAGATGTCGCGTACATGGATAGACGTCTATTGTCACGTACTTGCGACAACTTAGAATACCCAGTTCCTGTCCACGCTGTCAGAGGGCTAGATTTGTTGGTGGCTTACTGAGAGTAATAAACCTGGACTAATTTGGAGATTTGACCCTGTAATAAATGAAACGCTCTTCTCCAATGTGAAATTTCTCCTTCCTCTCATACAGCCAGACGCATCCTTTGTGTCAGCCAATTACTCCTCAGTTCACCAATGTCATAGAGACAGGGTCAATATTTTTCGAAATGGAGGCAGTTGACCATCCTGCTTTTGCTGATGGCCAGTACTTCCCAAATCGATATCCGTGTGCGTCCCGCAGCAACAACTCAAACAACCCGGACAAACGCTTCAAAGTCGAGTCTCTAGGGCCCAAGCCCAAACACCGAACACTAATCACCCGTTACTCCTGGCAAGAGAGAGCACGCAACCCGATAGAACTTCATTTCGATTCACCTGCAGACCTCACATATGTTGACTGTTGTAAAGCTCAGACACAAGACTAGCAAGTCGAAAACATGAAACATCCTGCATCGCTATGATGCGTTCCACCCCAATACCACCAATAATTGGAATAAGTCAGACAATTAACATTAGGAACTTATGACGAATAGGGAACCCAGCATTACCATCTATCACAAAACAAAAGGCACGGGTTTCAGGAAGTTGTATTATGGTAGCAATATCAAATAGAGATGAAACAATGTGGGAGACGATCCCCAAAGTGCAAGTCAAATGCTCCTCCCGGATATACTCCTTCAGCATCACTGGTTGCTATCTTGAGGATGCTGTTGCTGAAGCGTTTGCTGATGCTGCTGTTGTTGTATGGCAGTGGCGTAGACGGTCTGCAGATGCTGTTGCAATTGCAACTGATGCTGCTGTTGCTGTTGCAAAAGTAACGCTGCAGCTACTGCCGCAGCAACCGCTTGTTGCTGGTGCTGCTGTTTATAGTGCTCAAAGAGTTGTTGCTGCTGTTGATGAGCAGCGTCAGCTGGGTGGATGAGACCAGCAGTAGCCAACAGAGCCTGCTGCTGCTGTTGCAGGGTGGCCAGATGCTGTGCCAGCGCATAAGTACCAGCCGTCGAGGACGTAGTGGTGGGAGGCAGAACTGAAGGCACAACAGAGGGAACAACGGTTGTTGCCCCACCAGCTCTTGTCATAGTCCGAGCAACAAAACTTGGAGTCGTCAAGGCTACATCGTTACTGAAAGAGGGCAGAGGAGCCAGAGGTTGGGGTACGCAGGCCGATCCCGAGTCAACTTTTGCCTTCTTGGGTTGCCTCGACTCATCTCCCCTAGAGGCACCGTTTATTTCGGCTTCTGAGGAGGAAGGTAAAAACGTGGATTCTGTGCCATCCTTCCCATCAGTGTGATCTAGACTTGGAGCTAAAATTGAAAAGTAAAGTTCTTAATGCCAAGTAAAGAGTACTTGAGGCCTCCGAGGAAATACAAGGGGTTTAGTGAGACCCCAACGCAAAGCATGAAAAGTTTGCAGGGACTAATTTTATTGAAAACTGAATAATTGGAGCATGACCAAAATGCAACAGACAACATAAAGAACGTCTTCGATTAACAAAAGGTGTTAACGGCGAACAAATTAATTTAGCAATGAAGTTTAGCAAGTTTTTGCAAGCGATCCAATAAAAGAGTAGGGCATGGCTAATTAAGGCCCTGACAGTGAATCATGCAAAAATAATTGGAATCAAATCTCACGATGGCCTATAGGAGGCTTCGCATTTGCACTTTCACCTTCCATTTCAAATACATTGATGCCGTGCAAAAGCGTGGTAGTCATACGCAAAGCAGTTTACCACGCAATTTGGCCGTCCTAAGGAGGGGGCATGGTGATACAGGGGGTGGACTGAAGTACAACAGGAGGCTACAAGGCATTCGGATGTGCCATTACCGAAAAGAACGTATTTAAGCACGCCCGAAAACTCATTCTCACGCAGCACTTGCCAATTAGTAAAAATGACAACTAGGAGCCGCAGTGGCAATATAGGCAGACCTTCGAGCACCTTATTACCCGAGGCAGCTAATGAGAAGGGTGGGGACTTAGTGACATTAGGAAGGGTAATCCACGACCGCTACTACTCAGCATCAACCGATGAATTAGTTTTTTGTAAAAAAATGTAAAAATAATTTTTCTGCTTAACAAATGAATGCTCACAAATGATGCAAACGTTTTAATAGTTGACAATGACAACAAGGTCCAAGTCGCCGCCTAAGAACGATAGATCTATAAAAATTAGCTATTCACACTGAATCACGAAACAGGCGTAGTGTGCTTAGCTGAGAGCAAGACTAACGAGATAGTGATCATGAAGATTGGGGTCCGTGGATTTGTCTTTAAAAATTAGACAGCAAATATTTAATAACAACAAAGAAAAGTGAATTCCATGGTATCAAAAATTAGTCCTTGTGACAAAGGCTAAATTGCTGCAGCGTAGCGAAGGGAAAAATGGCATTAAAACAAAATTTTGGCTGGTCACGCTAAACTGTTTCAAGATAATGGATTCCAAAGCAATGTACCCGCTTTAAGTTCGTAAAGATGGTCTTGAAGGTAAAGCAAACATAAAAGCACACTAAAGACTGAAGGCAGCAGAAAAAACGCAGTTTGGATTATATTATTAATAGTTGACAGTCTGAATGATCTGAAAACCCATGGGCCTATTTGCCCTCATGTTCTTGGCTACGTTATCTCAATCTACCACACATTAATCTCCATTTTTCCTGAGACGTAGATTGGCAATTTTTATTAGACATGCATGTACATGCAGCAGAGGTTAAAGGAATGACGCTGACGTCTAACGCTTTGGACGCTGTTTTAAAATTGAAGCTACTTAAATTGCAGCAAAAAAATGGAAAGATGAAGGATGACCCGAAAAAGCACGGAGATCTACTCATTCATTTTATATTTTTGTAAAAAATCCTGCAAGAATAATACGAGATAAGAACTGCATCCAGTCCCCCAGTTGTTTGTGACACAGAAAGGGTCAATGTACTGAGCCCATATCAACGCACCTTCTGTTCTGAATCAGTGCGAGATTGCAGAGACAGTAACAAGGAGCAAAAAGAATGGTGGTTCATGTGTTGTTGTAACGCGCGAATAAAATTTTGTGGATCGAGATTTCATTTCCTACCAAATTGAACACTATCACGGAGTAATAGAAAAGTACGAACCTGGGAATGATCTACTGAAAATATTCCCAAAGGTAAACAGACAGAATATAAGCTGACTTCTTACAGAAAAGGTATTAATAACACCCCTTGCGGGTTTTAAAAGGAGAAAAATGATTCTTCATGAACACATTTACATTCGCAGTAGTCCTAACAAGTTAGGGTGAAGTGGGTAATGTCAACGAGTTCATTAATCCTGATACGGTGAGACTCCAGTTTGTCTGAAGGCCGCCGCGTGTCCAAAAACCCCTAACGTTCACATTAACAATTAAAAGATGATAAATAAGCCTACCTGAACGCTTTGTGGCAACGGATGTAGTAAACACTGCAACAGAAGCAGTTGCTTCATTCTCTGGGGCGGCTGTCGGAGCAACTGTGCCAGTAGATTTTGAAGAAACAGCATCGACCTTAGACGACACGGGTGGGGTTGAGGACGGTGAAGGAGGCAATGGAGCAGAGGGTAAAGACGTATCTGTCACAACAGGGGGTCTATTGGATGTTTCAACCTCCTCAGGAAAGACAAAAATTGAGTCATCAGGCGCAGAGACGAGACGCACCTCACGGTTGGCGTCGAAACAGAAACTGGTGTTAATACACTCGTCTGAGATCAATGCTGCTTGCTCTGCCGACAACCAGCGCTCTAGATGAGCACGTACTTCAGCTACATTCTTCAGTCGTGAACCACCGGGTCTGTAGGGTTAAAGCAAAATTATACTGGGCTTAATTTTTTATTATTACGCGCGGACCATCCAACTCTGCGATCCTGCTTGTACGCTAAAAGCAAGGAGGTTTGTTTGAACACTTTTACTACTAGTTCTCTAATCCCTTTATGAAGGATATTTCCCAAAAGCGCATAATTCGTAGTTTACAGATGGTTGGAAAATTAGTACCAAAAAGCGAGCCCTAAAACATTTATTCGAGTATTCGTGGAATGACATAGAGGTGGCAGTAAAGTGACTGTGTATTCCCTTATTTTGGAATCACGAAACTAAAGGCGACAGATCTAATAGTCTGCAATTCAGTTGATGCCACGTATAATGACAAGAAATTACTTTAAAAAGTAGTTCTTGGCGGAATGCATGACGCGATACGTTAAGAGACATGTGCTTAATGATTGAGGTGGGAGGGAAACAGAAGCGATGATGTGTGATGACGTTAGGGCATCAGGACAAGAAATGGGCGGACAGGGTTGCCCGAAACTCACCTGGCAAGGGTCATACTGTCAATTTAAACGACTACGACACTGAAATGCAGAATCAGCCTTGCAAATTTAGCAATGTAATTACGGCTAAGGAATCGACTTTGTGGAAATCATTCACATTTCCACTGCAATTTAGAGTTGCGGAAAACCACACACATGAAAACACAATCAAGCGCATATGGACATGAGTGGGGACTAAAGTTAAAAATTGCATTAAAGGCCGCGGCCAGAGCCAATATGGGGGTACTAAGCTGGCGTGACTTATATGACAAACTAACACAGGTCAAAAAAGATGGAGGAATACGACCAACTAACGAAATGTAGACGACTACGTCGGATTGACGATCCACGATGCGCGTCCAAGCGCTGTTCCAAGGCAGCGGAGGCTTGGTACCTTCCGATTTGACGACTGTCTGCGAAGACTTGGTTTCACCTAACGGAGGATTTGCACAGACTCCGGATGCACGTCTCTGTGTGGTGCGATTTTTGATCGTTGTCACGACATGTCCACCAGTGTTGGTCAGAGGTTCAGCCACGGGGGCAGTTGCAGAAAGAAAGACTTCTGCAGCATTCGACAGCGGCTGCTGATTGGCAATGGCAGCAGCTCGAGCAGCTGCTGCGTACGACGCCACTATCTGATCCGGTGGACTTTTGTTCGCCTCTTTTGATGACACCTGAGCGAATAAAAATAGGGATTGTCAAATAATAACAAAGAGTAGAATCGTGCCTTAATCACCGTTGGTCAAGAAAGGGAGAATAGAGAAGTAGGAAGTTCGGCCTCTCGACAACGCAGAGAGCAAACAAGTAGCATAGCGAGCGCAGACTTGCTGAACAGAGCGAAGCGACATGCAAACAGGAAATTTCACACATACACATACAAACACATGGGTTATTTGATTGAGTGATAGATAAAAGTGTTACAAACACAGTGCTGCTGCGGCTTGGCGACAAACTACCTGTGCGCATGTTATTTGCAAGAAGAATGCGGTGTTGGTAGCGAAAGGCAGTCTCCAGCTGCAAAAAACAACACCTAGAGTACTTAGAAAAGGAAAAGGAGGAAACAAACGCACGCATAAAACGCGCGAGGAAGGGGAAGTTGGAGGGGTAATGGTGGGTGCGAGACGGCCGGGTCGAATTGGAGCTTACTTGAGAAAGTGTCTGCTCCAGGTATCAAGAAGAGGGTCGACAGACTGTGGCCTGAAGACAAGAAGTGTCAGTGGGAAAAAACGAGACCCAAAAATAAATTGATGTTAACCAAATAGCATGCATAGCGTCAATGGGTGAGATAATAAATAATAGGAAACTGCAAGCGGTGAGTCTGAAGCACGTTTCATGTAATTAATGAAATAATTTACAACTGAGCGGAGCAAAATTTGGGACCGATATTCAAAGTGAAGCATAGAGAACACTCCGAACTACTTTCAGATGATGATATCCTCCCTCAAAAGGGGAACACGATTGGCTTAAGGCGATAAACGTACTCTTCACTGATTTGATTTACACAGGACAAATTCCTGATTTACACATTGTACGAGTAAACTTGGTCCAACTGTTCCAAACGAATAGTACCCGTAAGACCGATAAGATGGGTTTCGAAATAGGATGAGAAAATGTAGGTGCGGCAAAGCATGCAATCAGTGCAAAGTTAACGGTAAATGGACACAGAATTGATGACTCAAAACATAAATGCAAACGGTGGGATCAGCAATAATGAAAAACACCTGAAGAATTGACAGGTTCCATACCTGAGAAATACTACTTCCGCTGCTGTTTCCATAGAGGACAGGAGCGCGAACTATAGTGTGAGCATCAGAGGGTTCTGAAGAGGTGGTAGTGAGGTCACAAGTTGAACTTTGCAGGAGGCCAGGATTCAAAAGAGGAAGCATTTGGGAAAGACTGAGTTGGGCAATGAGTGGATTCACGGCATTGGTGATGGGAAGGCCGCCAAGAAATTGGGCCGTTTGTGGGAGAAAATAGGGTGAAGCGGCATGTAGAGAAGGCGGTGCAGAAAGGTTGGATTGAGCGGATAAAAGAAGAGAGGATATGTCTTGGCCAGGAACAATGGATGTCGAATCGAGCGGAAGCCCAAGGCTTAAACCAAGAAGTGGGTTTACATTAGGGACATTTGGAAGCTGCCCATAAGGAAAATAGCGAGGAAACATGCTCAATCAGGAGTCAGATTCCAAATGGCGTAACTACAGAAAGTAAAGAGACCCATATCATTCCGGATAAGACAGCAGAAAGCAAAATACTAAGTTGAATTAAAAATTCAAGCAAGCATCCTAAAGTTAACGAGGCATATGTTGACACAATTGAAAGAAAAATTGCACAAAATCCATGCACCTTCACAAGTCCTCTTGCCTGTTTGCGAAATTAACGATGGGAATAAAGACAAAACAGCCAATGGTCGTAATCCACACTAAGCTTTAAATATGTGGAAAGTTAGACACTAAGCTATGCAAGTTCAGCAAATAACACTGACTTGTAAGATGCGAGAAATGCAAGAAATCGAAGAAAGCAACCAACACTGCAAAATATCTACAAATCAAATTAAATCCCACCGTTTTCGATACTGTTTAAAACGCCTGCAATTACCTTTGCATTTCACCAAGGTAAACCGAAAGTTCAGGGTCTTGGTTAACGCTTTTTGTGGCAAAAATTGCTTAATGCCATGAAAATCTCATCAAAAGCGTATTATGTACTCCAAAGTCAATTTGTACTTTGCTTTTGCCTACGTCAAATCAACTGATTTTGTTCTAATCTCAAGCGTAATTGACATTATACGATGCCTTGTTATGAATGCACATATTATGAGATGTCATTCCTATCTACAAATATTGTTTTCCGAATGTCCTTAAGAAATAATTGATGCACGTCATTCTAGAGGAATTATTTTAGGTCATGGAGCTTCCGAAGCGTAAAGAAGCCTATTCAGTTTCTTCCAGTATTTTCTCCTCATTACTCATATGCTAGCGTGCAAGGCATGCAAGCAAACTCCGTGCACTAGCTTTGAGCTAAGTCTAAGCTGTCTAATAAAATAATGGTGTATTATCGCGTCGGTAAGGTCCTTCAACCTAAAGCTGAGAGCTGTGTGCTAGAGATTAAAAGGTATAGATGCCTCCATGAAACCATGATATTTAAAGTCTTTACTAAGCAAAGGTTGAGTTTATGGAGATTACAGCTGTAATGCTTTATTTATGCGTCCTCCTGATGGCTGGCGGTTACTTTAAGGAGTCCTCTAGCCCTTGAGCGCGTAGTCTGAACTTCGGATCAAGTTCTTGTTTAGTCCCTTCTCCCCTCAGAATACATGTATTCAGCCCAATATAATGTCTTCCTCTACCTGGTGGGTAGTCTCGAGACGCGGTCTCGCATTGCAATTGCCTGAAAGCCAGATTGCTCAGGATAAAAGGTTGGCCTCCATAGCGATCATTACATATGCGGGTAGTCGAATAAGCAAAGTATTATGACGTACTCATCTTTCTTGGACTTACAGAGTGGATACGATTAGAAACGGAATAGAACACCCAATATCGACCCGGAAGTTTGGACTGCAGAGCGCCAGACTGGCGACCTCATAAAGAATGTAGTCCGGACTACTTGACTCTCAATGCTTTACTAAAATGAGCTTGATTTACTTCATTCAAAAGTTTTCAGGAAAACTTTTATTATAAGTGGAGAATTGGCCTGAGAGGCTACGTATCACGGAATACTTTGGAGTGTAACCAAGGCAAGCGTCCAAAGGTAGTCCAGAGAAAGATCCATATATCTTCCAAGAGAAAACCATGTTGAATGTTCGTCTCCTCGCTATTAGGACAATTTAAATACAATGTTGTATTATGTAGTTTGATGACTTCATGGTCAGAAAAGAGCATATTGCATTGTCTAAATGGTATATTTTTGCTGCAACAACTAGTTTGATGTCTCCACAACAGATGTAATTTAAATGTATTCCATTCTTTTTGTTTAAATGCCCAACCATATGATGTTTAGGCTTCCGTCAAATCGTCGTTATAATAAAGGAGGATTTCCGGAACGAAGTCATCAACATTTAACAAAAGATTCTCCAACAATTCATCTTCATCCGGTATTCCATTTTCAGCCAACGTCTTACTCATATCAAGTATATTTTGACCGTATTTCCATGTGTATGACGCGGCATGAGCATTGCATGGGAGATAACGTTCTAGTATGTCAAGCATTGTTTCTTCCGAACAAACCTAATGCAGAGAAATTATCAAGTGAAGAATCGTCAATAACCCATTTTTTAGATCATTAAAGTCTTGACTCAACTAGTAAAAATTTACTTCAATTGTCGAATCGTTTCGAGTAAGTGTATTTACGATCCGGATTGTTCGTGCCTTCTTAGTCAGACGTCCGATGAGATAAGATTTGTCTAGCCACCAAGGAATAACGAAGTCATTCCGCCAATCTGATGTGGGAAATGGTGGCGGCACATGAAGAAATCGCCCGTAGGGTGTGTACGGTACACGTATAAAAGTTACTGGATCAATATGGGTTCGAAGATTGCCGGTCTTGGAGTCGAACCAATGTGAAATGTCAGTACCACCAACAGCTAGTATTGGTTTTAGCAAAACATCACCTATAAATAGTATCACCTGTTAGTTCTATTCTGACAAGAGGGTGTATGCAGAACCACTAAAAATAGGTCTGATGATTGAAAATTTTGCAATAATAATAGCCGTCATTTAAGAAACATAGCCTAGAACCATCATTCGAAACAATCACTGTAACAGCAGTAAAACTGTCCAAGCTTAACTAGAAAAGATCTCGTGCATTAATGCGTTGTTTGCGAATTTAAGGATATATTATTAAGGCGTCAAATCCGTATTCTCCTTTGTCTGTAATCCTAGACCAGTAAAAATCATACCTCTGTGAAGATCGCATAAAGGGGTTAGGTCATAGACGTTTCCTAAATAGGAAACCCACAAATCAGTTTCCGAATTATGCAAGGACACCTCAACCGGTGTGTAGTACTTTAACATTCCCGCTCATACCAGCAACAAAAGTTGTCATGCGAGTAACTGATAAAAAATCAATCAAGGTCGGTATTTTGCATAGATATTAATACAAACTGTATTTTTTCGATTGCTATGGGGATTACTTCAAGAATCATTATATCGCAAAAGTTATAGCGTGTAATAGTTACAGGCTCAGCATCTTCGCTGTTTGGTCTATATATTAGGCTTCAAGTATTAAATCGGGAAAGTGATGTGATGGAGATACCGTATGTTGTGTGATTTAGAATACATAAGAAAGTAATTTTTAGGTTTTTATACCATCTTGTCGATGCCATCGAAGTTGCAAGTTAAAAAATAACTAATATCACTGATACGTCTTAGGAATTCTCACTTGGATAAAGAAGGCTGAAAGTATGGTTTCTTGTAGTTCGGAGAGGGGAGGAGAAATTTTTAGCTTTCACTTGACCCGGCTATTTATGTATGATGTTGAGAGCAGGACAAAAGCCAAAATGGCTGCAAGTCATGCAAATACTCGTTTAAACGAGACACTGCAATTTCTATAATGAGTAAGAGTTTTATAAAAGGTGCTTATTTGAAGTTATATTTGCAGCTGTAATGCTTTGTTTATGTGACTACCTGACGTTTGGCGGTCGCTTTAGTATTTGACTGGCCCTTGTACGCGTGGGCTGGCCTTCGGGTCATGTCCAGGCTCATTTGTCTTGTCGCCTTCGAAATACATGCATCCAGCTGCACTTATTGACTTCTTATACTGGCTAGGAAGTCTCGGGATACATATATTCCAAAAAGAACAACGCGACTAGGGCTAAGCATGCCCCGAAGGTCGGCCTACGGGTGCATGGGCCAACCAACTTTTAAAGTGACCGCCACACGTCAGGTGGGCGCATAAACAAGGCATTACGATATTAGTTTTGTGCCGTCTCGAGAGTTTCCATTAGATACTAGAAGGCATAATAATCTGCTGACTACTGTATACTTTCAAGCAAGAAGAAAAGAGCTAAAGCTTTTGACACGGGCGGAAGGCCAGCTTACACTACTGAAGCCATAATGACCCCTGGTCCTACATGCTGCCGAACAAAGTATCAAATGCATGGTCCGGTCGGTGACCGTAACCGATACTAGCAATCAAACAACTATCATATCACAATCCCCCTCTCTGCAGTCATCAACCATCGCAAAGGCGTCTGTGCTGCAGGTCACGAGGCGGTCGTCTCAAACATCAACTCGCGTGTGGCTGTGAGAGCTGCTTATTTTCGACATCCCTGATCTCTCTCAGCACCTTTGAGTGGATCCGCGGTATCGTTTGTCTTAGAAACATGACTCATGGTCTGGCGGCTCAGCGGACCGTCATGGCTAGACGTTAGAGCACTAGTCTAAGTGCAGATTTATGAAAGGCAGTAGGCGACCTAGCGGCCCCGTGTGAGCGAGATTTAGTGCACCTTCCCATCGTCGAGGTCAAGTCGCATTGTCAGTAGGGGAAACTGCGGGAAACATTTTGCCCGGCGATTCATGGCAGATCTCGCTTCTGTTGTTAGTGGCGTGCCCTTAAGACCTGGCATACTTAGGCCTTCTGTCTTGATGAAATCAGTTACGTTTACATCTGCGGCTTATTTGCCTCATTTTCACGCATACGGTAAGTCACAAAAGGAAGGAATCAGAGTAGTTGGGACTACTTTCCTCTTCCTCTTTGTAGCTTCTCGAGGCTTTCTATTAGGCGTCTTAAAACATCAAGGTCAAATGAATGAATATATCCGGACCAATAGCATGGCTCGAAGGCTAGTTCACGGCATTACGCCTATAGACAAAGTTTAATACGTCAGACACCCAACGCTAAGATAAAGTGGTCTAAAATTGCATTTAATTTGTGTAGAAGTGTTCGCCGTGTAGGATGAGCTTAACCATCGGATCGTTGCAGAAAGATCTTATTATAGGACATTTCAGAAATAGAACCAATCATAACTCAATCCTCCGAATTTCGAAGCATAAGTTTGTATCATGATAACAATTTTAATAAAACAATCTTCAAATGGTTCCTTTTTACTTTTTTTGTTTTTGGTTACTTTAACTTTGCACAGATCTCTCACGAAACGGAATTTACACATTCTGTCCACAGTCGCATGAGTCTTATTTGCCATAGCATACGAGATGAAATCTGTTTCGGCAATGCATTCCATGTAACATCAGAGCACTTGAGTTTCTTAATTCTGCTTTGGTGCAAAATGATATAATCGGCGTTTCTTCTTGATTTTATCGGCCTTCAGTAAATAGAAAGTCAATGCTGTTTCCGAGTCACCGTATTTCTTAAGTGCCATTTTGCGATTTATTATCAGAAGAGCATCCCATTTTTTCTCTATCCCCGTTAGAAGATTCAGTAGTGTGCTAGAAAATGTACTGTGAGCATGCAAGGAGGATCGGGAGCTACTGGAAGGGTCCCAAATTATTGCTTTTGGAAAAATGTACAATTTTACAGAGGCATGAGTGTTACTGTAACTAAGGGCAGATTTAAGGCAACTGTAGAGTACTTAAAATGGTGCACAGACGACGAAACTCTCATGGATAAGTCACCCGGACGTAGCGAATCCTCAATGAATGGCCCCTTTTTTATTTGGCAAATGGCTGAATAAGTGTAATGAATTTTTAGGCAAGGTATTTCTCTTTTAATGATTGTAATCAAACAGAAGTGCCAAGTAAACTAACAAGGCGGCACATGTTTTAGCCAAAGCATCAACAAGTTTTCTGTTACTGGGGCGTTGTTCGAAAGTCCAAATACTATTCTTAAGCTTTCTTTATAAAACTGCAAGTGTTTCAAGGACATTGCATACTGTTGACATTAAGTTAAATAAGATTCCTACTTTAATGCCTATTGCTGGGGCCCTCGAACAGAACAAAGCACCAACTCGGAAGCCTGTGGATCATAAATATTGACCGATCCATTTGCTGTCGTGTCCATTGCAAAAAAGAAATAAGCCTAGGAAAAAACCGCTGGAGAATTATTCCATATGCTAGTAGTTGTATGACCTCTATGCTTTACAAAACAATTTTATTATAAAATTAAGGCTTATTTTTTTCGTTTAAACAGCAGCGAACAGCTCACGCTCTAAGAAGGGCGTCCGCGCTCAAGTTTGTCAACGTAGAGGTGAGAGAGAAGCACTGCCAACACACGACCTTTTAAGGTGGATGGACAGAATTCTACGCCAATCAGATCGTTGGCTGTGCTCGTCAGGTATTTGATCCAGCACGTTCACTGCCAGCACGGCTTCCTGACCACTTTGATAAAACATTAAGACTGCCAGGACTTTGGTGACAAGCGCATTATCAATGATGTTGTGGGATGTAGAGTTTTTCGAACGTTAAGTTGCTTTAAGCCACTGTAGCTGGAAGGCGTGGTGTGATTAAGCGATGGGGGCTGCGTACTTAGAGATGTGCAAATGTGGCCACTCGCATTAAAATTATGCGATTGTGTAATAGCAAGATGATGATTTTCACATCCATTTATCTAACTCACACAGGTGCAGTAGGTGAACACACGCATCAGCGTAAATAACGCCCGACGTTAAGGGCCTGTTTGGTATTAGGTTGTTGATACGGGTGAATGAACCCGAGATACGCGCCATTGACATCGTGTGTGTGGAGGGCGCTTAATTTGTGGTCATTTTTTTACCCATTGGAAAAAAATTTTGAACAAACCTCCTCCGCACTAGGTTTGACAAAACAAGATTTAAATGAAGGCAATGCATTTAGGACCTGGCAAACTGCTTAGTTCCGTACGTAGTTGACTTTACTTTCCTACGTATTCATCAACGGCAACCTCATTGTGGTCCACATGCAAATCGGCAAAACTGCTGGTTAGACTTCAATTCTGGCGATGAGGACTTTTAGCACGGACATTAGAAGCATAACGGTGGATTCGATGGTGTTTTGAGGTTGATTTCGAGCCTACCGATGGACTTGATCATTTCTAAGCGTTAAATTTGGGTGCCAAAATGACGACTTTTACTCTACAAGAATTGTGGGCAAAGTGTAGAATTTCTGTCATGCAATGCACAAAATCTGTGTTCATTTGAGTCCAAGGCTAGAATTTTCCTTACCTTGTGTAAAGAAACGAACCAATATATTTTTCAGATAAAAACAATACATGTGAATTAGAGCATGACCTGCTGTGGCTCATCTAAGTGATTTCCATATTCTGCTCAACCCTCTATTTCTACGCAACGTAGAAACCATTTTACATAAACGCAAATGTGAAGACCAAATCATCCCGAGAGGCGAAAGTAAATGGCGGCGGGAGAAAAGTGCATTTGCCGCATCAGTCTCAATACAAATCGCATATTGGTTAGAACAAAATGCCAGAAAAAACGGAGTGAATGGAAAAGCTAGAGATGAGTGCTTCCCATTTAATGCGTTCACTATTGACGTTTAAGCCAAACTAGGACAGTTGAGCACATTAAGCGGTAAAAAAGATCCAAAATTTATGTATTAATTTTAGCGTCAGGCTGACACCTGACGTGGTTGGTAGCCGAAGGCTATCAGCGTTGATAAGCCGTGTTAGGCTACTTTTCATTGAATGCTGCCATTAATGAATAGCTGACGTCTTGGCTACTCTTTTAGGTGAAAACAGAAACTTCCAGTCCCCTATGCCAAAATCCTTTCCTAATTGAATGTCTTCTACAACGTGCCTGTCATGAGTGAAGGCAAAATTCCGTCTCAACGCCAGAAGAAAGGGACTGTTGTGATGGCTGGAGACCATTGTGGCTAACAGGTTTTACCACGAGGTGCCCGAACGCCGCTTCATTGTGGTTTGCCTGATATCCACTGCAATCCTCCACCGTCTGTAACTTTACTGTTTCCTTCAGTACTACAAATATTCGCCCCAGCAGTACGACACTGAGACTGTTGCTGCATCGTCTACCTCAGGGTAAGTTGTCCCTTCTAAATGCATTATGGTATGAGTGAAGGAGGGCCATAAAATCGCGTATTTATTGAAAGGATTACTGAGGACAACAATTCCCACCCGAATGCACAGCTGCATATATGACAAGACATCCTATGACACCAATTAAGAGAAAAGAAATGGGGGAGGAGCGTGAGTCAGGGTAACTTTGGATCAAAAGACTCCTCGACGAGGAGGAGCTTAATACCCTCCAGCACGTTAGTCGCTTCAAAGCTCGGCAAAATGAGGTCAACTGCACCCATGAAGTCGCGATGACAATGCAGTGGCTTTGAACGCTTCGCCTGACGATCACCGGGCTTGTAGACACCTGTCTGCACGAGAATTGCTATACAAAACGAATTTTAGGATTATCTTTAACCATCCCATGCCTCTTGGCTCAACAAATCAACCTCAACACTAAGAAGTTGATCATCTACATATTTAAGAGAGCGGAAACTGGGCAAGATAGTGATGGCACACTTTATCCGCACTATAGTTGAACTTTTAATCTACAAACCCCAAAAATTCAACTTCTTGCATGAGATTTAACCAAATGCGAACACACGAAGCAAAGCTACAGAGTCGAATAATGAGCGTTTGTATCAAACTACACAATAATATATCAAGAGGTCTTTATATTCAGCACTGATCAAAGCGATACTATACACCGAAAGTGCGAGTCTTTACAGACATGTTGGACTCATCCGAATTGCCTGCATTAGATAGTGTAGCACCCTAGAAAATTAGCATGCGATTAGCGTTTCTGGTCCTCGGATGAATTTAAATTTAATGACCGCGCAAGTATGGTTATAAACTCATAACTGGGAACTCAAAAATCGGGGATTGGGCGGTGGTAGTGGACGCCAAAGACTCACACTCAACTCCTCGGCAGGTTTGCGGGAGGAATGTGGCGTCGGCCGGGACAGTGCGGGAAGAGGCGACAGCAGCCTTCATGTGCAACTGACTTTGCTCGGGGCCGGAGACATCCCGTCCCCCAGACAGACGGCGGTAGCGACGCAGGTACATATTGTACAGGTTGGCACCCAGGATGTCCACTTCTGGATTGTCCCTACAGCCGGACACAGCAAAAAACTCCATTTCAAAAGGCACGATGCAATCACTGTTTGTAGTAATTCCATAGTAGTACTTTTTGGCTTTGGGAGAAAAGTGAGTATTTTGGTGGTAAACTTTCGTTAATTCTTTCTACCTATCAAGTTGTATGACAAATAAAATAAAGATATCATTCATTTAGGCTTGGTGATGTAGCGAAAGGGTAGTCCAAGTGAGTGGGTTAAGGGATGATTTATCGTCTCAGTAGAGATGAAGTGAGAAAAATTTTAGCAGATTCGCAAACTTCACTTGGTAATCTGAAGACATTGCAGCTGAGTAGGTAAACTTGCAATGCTCTCAGAGGCGCATTGGACTACCGAAAAGCTGGGTTTAAGTTCGTGCCTCACATAATGATGGTGATAGGAAGATGACATGATAACTCTGAGTAAATCGGGGTTAAAATGCCACATTATATTCATATGACAATAATCTAGCTGAGACAAACTTATGACAGGTTCCGTTTGCATCCACCGTCAAATCTCCTTGTTCGAAAGCAAAAGTAGCCGTGCAATGGGAGCATAATGCTGAAGTTTCGGTGGCTGACCGAGGTGATTTGGTGAACAAGGGTGCAAATGTGTGGCGAGGGTGAGCAGGCGATGAGTTCTCCACTTACCCGAAGAAGTAGATTTTCCTGAGAGGTCGTGTGATGCCCATGCGCTTAGCAGCCTTGCTCAATATGTGCTCCGAGAATCGGTAGGTGATTTCACTCGGCTTACCAACCAAGGCCGTGTACTTCAAGGGATAGCCCGAAACTCGCTACAATTAGTGAAATTATATTAGCTCAGTTCCACTAAGGTAAACATGAAATTAAGCGTCAGCGGAGTGAAGGTAAAATTTCAGTTTAATTACTTGCAAAAATCAAAGTACTCCGCTCTAGTTAATTGCATGTTTAACTCAGGGACGTCAAGTCGGCAGTGCTTAGCCACTTCATGATAAGGCAAATCGACTTCAGTTCGAGTCATTTGCAATTAAACTTACTTCGTAGAGTGACTCCAAGCAGACGAGGAAGGCACCATGTCCAAATCTTAAAGGAGAAACCTTGGTGATAGGGAACCTGGCTTACCTAGGCAAATAATTTCCCCTCCAATCATCTAATTTTGTCATTCTTCTAAATCATTTTCTGCATGAAAGTGAGAGCATCACGACAGAACAATCAAATAAGGCATCAAAATTCAGTTGACAACGGATGCACCATAACTTCTCAGTGGGGAGCCAATCCTACTAAGCTAAGGTGGGGCTGATGGACCCATTAATGTTGTGGGAATGGTGACGAATTTTTAGGCAGGAAACCTGCATGCTCCACTATGCTAACTAAAAGTTGTGGGTAGATTGAGGAGAAAAGCTTAAGCACCTGGGCATGCAGGCCTGACCCATGTAAAGGAGATCCATGTTGCAGGCTAAAACAGGTAGATGGTTCTTTGGGCTGGCTTCAGGTTTGTGGTCCGGCTTTCCATTTGTCATTAGTAGATCAATGAGCAATTGCAAGTACATCTCCCATTGAACAGGCTCCCCCATCAGCACGATAGCTGTTGGAGATGGGAAAAAAAGATGCGCTAGCTGTAGAAGGACACAACAGTGTGGTGACCCTTGTGAGGTGTGTTTAATAGAGTTTGCCACCTACGATCTGATGAACTTTTTTAGCAAACCCACCTTCAATTTGTGGAAAGTCTTTGTTCTCCTTGTATCCTTCGGCCTAAAAACAGAACCATTTGTTAGAAAAACTCAACTAAAATAAATGACTGATAACACTGAAATGGAGTCATACCACAATCTTGCGGTTTTCGTGGTTCACCATATCGAGGAGGGGCCAAGCCTCTGCAACTTGCTCCATGGTGTAGACATATTTGAATCCGAGATCTTCCGCGATCTTCTTCATGTCCCCTTGGCCCACCACCAGCACCCGCATGTCATGCCAATGGGTAAAACTCTGGAAGGGGCTGGGCGCGAATATCACTTGTTCTGGTTGCAGCTACACACAAGAAAAGCCAGCACCGTTCAAAGCCTTAATGCGTAGAGAGAGACGATGCCCTGCTTGCATGTCGCCTGTGTTCACTTGTCTTACCACATTTGTCGAATGGTTGATTTGAACTCCGCTTTGTCTTTCAAAATTGCCTGCATCTTTAGACGGATTTAAAGTATGATTTTACTAGTGTTTCAATGCAACTCAAGACTGCCTTGGAAAACGACAGGAGAGCATAAAAATTGCTAAATGATTTCAGCATAAGGAAGCAGACTCTTCACGCCTCCACATCACACTCTCAACTCAACAGCTAAGCACAGATTTACGACGACCATTTCAATACATTTGCTCGCAGGCGAACAAGAACTGGGTGAATCCAGAAGGGAAGCATATGCTATTCTTAAAATTGAGTTACGAGGGCGACAAAGTCCATGCCAGCAGAAAATAAAACAGTCCTCTCCTTAGCAAAAAAAGGTGTCACAGAACTTACGTCAATGTTGAAAATGGATGACAGCTGATCCACCTTTGCTTGCGCGTTTCCACAGGCGTTCGTCACAAAAGCGATCGGCACCCGGAGTTTGCCATTGCGTCCCTTCAGCAAGTCCATAGCCAAAAGCGCCTCCGGTATTGGAGTGGCGCCACGTAGCAGAACTCCGTCGATGTCAAAGAGAAGCCCAAAATTCGGCTTATCATAAGAGGCGAAATGCTTTTGTCAGGTAATGGTTAAGTTGGCTTTGAAAACGCGGATCATGTAGGAAATTGATGCCAAGAGAGAGGTACGTACTTATGAAATAAAGTAATAAGAGACAATTTGCAACTTTTTGCTTATCAATTTTTAGATGATTGGGCTTTTGAACGCACTAGCATCTATGTAGCATGAGGGGATCCGTGTATACAAAGTTCTGTATGTAAAGAGGGTTCAGAGCAATGAGTTGATGCTAACACAATGATCCAAGCTTTTGTATAACTGGTCCAGTGCAGCATCACCTTAGACATGAAAAGGGAGAGATTAGAAGCGAACTATAAAAGGCTCTACTATGTCCTACCTCTTTCTGCTTTAGGCCCACGGGGCAGAAGTCAAGCCTTTCATCCGTGTAACTGTCTGTGCTAATGATGCTGGCTTTGCGGATGTCGAGTTGCTCGGGTGAAGGAATGGCATAGAGGTCGGTGAGTGTGTCACCCATAATTCCGGAAAATGGGGAGGCTTGTGCACTACCATCATATTTATAGAGCCCTAACAAGAGTACGCATGCACACAGGCGCACACAGCTGCGGGCCCGTAGTAAACACTAAGACACGTTACGGATCATCCATTTACACAAGAGGGCCAAGGCCCGGGATATTCACTCTGAGCTTTGGAATCACGCAGACTTGAGCCTACTTCGCGTGACATGGTGGCCCGGCTTTCACTCCCTACGCCCCTCCCAGTGAGGCATCGCGCTAATTGCGAGGTTGAAAAGCCAGAAAAGGTTCTAAATGAACTGCTATTTCTCATACTGGAAAACATGCATTTTTTCAGCCCTCTTACGCCACTACCCGTAGAAGCTCAAATGAAAATAGTGTGAGCAAATCGAATTATGAAACCTTCATAAGTGAATATGCTAATTTTGAAGGTGACTGAATGGTAAATACAAAGGTTGTTTAGTAAATCCATTTCCTACTGAAATCGTTGATGTTTCCCTGCTGATCTGTTGGTGATACCAAAGTTGAATTATGTGTTTTACTACCCTTCTATGGTGGTCTCAACGTACCATTAACGCAAACGTGGTGATTAAGGGTTTTGGGGTTCTACGTACGGAGCGTGTAGTGAACAATCTCACACGAATCGTAATATGACTTTTTGACCTCCTAATGTTCCAACCCGTTTCGTTTGTACTTTAATGCGTGCATATACGAAGGCTTAATTAAAACAAAATAAATCTCAAACAGTGTGCTATAAAACTGTTTAAGCATGGCTGCACGATGGTGACATAGTGGCCACCGTGGCTTAGTGGCCGTAAGTGCAAGCCCTAACTTGATCGGCTAACAATTGAGGGTCACGTTGGATCCCCTGGTTACATACGGTTCCCCATAGACGAGCGGAGAAAAGGCATGCTTCCGGTTCGTGGTCGAAGGGTGTGAAAGTAGTCATTAGAAGTAAATTTTCACACTTGAAGCCTGCACAATGGCACAAAGAGTAATTATCCAGCAGTGACAAAGGGCGTCTTATTTATCCGTTTCATTATGGTATTGTTTATGAAACTATCCGAATGGTTAATTAGTTTCGCACCTTCAAGAAACGAATGTTCGAATTTCTGGCTCCAAGTAGACCTTGTTATTTTATAGACTTGGTTATTCAAGCATGGCATCATTATGCCCTCGGCATTGAAAACGAATCCACTTTTTGTGCCTAAAAGGAAACGCCTACTGTTAAGTAGTGAGCATTCCGCTTAGTTAAGCGACTGAATTCAACCGAATGAGTTCCATTTGTATTTTTGTCCCCAAACAAATGTGCCGGTTGTCCACTACCCTAGCGGATCCATCTGGCTTGATTTAGGCAGTTCGCAAACTGATGAACCATTCAACCCAGACTAAGTTCCATCCAGTGGTGGAATATCGTTGAGATTCATAGTAGTAATGCGCGCCGATCATTTCATCAATTCGGTACCTTTGTAATAATTTTATAAAGTGGTGCATTGTGATGACTGTGACCATGTCAGTGGCTGCTGCTGCTGCTGCTGCTGCTTCGGGACTGTGGCAGCAAATGGGTTGAAAAAACTCACCCTCAGACACCAATACTGCTCAGCGGTCTAATGGGAGCTGAGAGTGCAATGATCAAAGCGATTGCCGTCCAGGCAGTGCATTTTATTCGACACAACTGATGAGAATTATGTACTCCATAATGGTGAATGTTTCATCAAATTAAACGTCCATAAGCTTGCCTTAATGGTGAACGTAGAGTCCGTCATATTGTGTGGACAATGAAACGATTGTTCAGTTGCGATGCTTTCCACCCATATCAAACACACTTAATTTTGTTTGTTTAATACGACTCGTGACCTGGAGATTTATTGAATAAGCAAATAAGGTGAATGAATGAGTGTCCTCTCCAGAGCGTAATTGTCCAGACCTACAAGGTCACCTATCCAATTAATATCCCACGTGCATCCGCTATGAGAGGCATTGGTGTGTTGCTGCATGCGTCACAGACCTCCCTCATTACTCTTTCCTCCAATAGACAGTAGGTAGAGTAAACAAAAAAAACATTTGTCAAATGCCAACTGCGACAGAGTAACGGATAAGCAGACTAAACCAGGTATGGGTGAGGAGTCAACCACATTGCAAAGCTCGATTAATGTAAGAACCAAATTCCAACTCACGTGACAAATTCACTGTGCCAATCGAATTAGATTCAAGACTACAAACAACTTCGTCTTGTGACCAAGTTTATCGAGCTTGACACTTCCCTTCGAGGATGCGCACAAAATCAACAACTAGTCAGCCGGTGAAGACAGAATCTGCTTGCCTATTCCTCTTCCTACCACTTTTGGTCCTCTTTGAATGAATTCACCATTTCAAGAGCACGTAGATTGAATGAGCAAGTGTAAGCAAAATATTGTTCACTCCCTACTAACAGCTGAAGTGGCGACCCAACAACCACTTCATTATTTCATCAATATTGAAACCTACGCTGATGTTAACTGCCAATGGTATGCCCATTATTGCCCTTAAAGTGATGCCGTTGCTGAGTCAGGCATTGCGATAAGGGATGATTAATTGGAACCCCGAGATATTTAAAAGACACAACATCGCCACTTTTAATACTACAAAATGAATAGGAAAACTGGCATGATGACGTAGCTGCTACAAAGCGGCTCACTTCTTGATAAATGAGCACATTTGGTCCACCATGAATCTCTCTTAGGTTGCATACAAACAAGTAGTACGACGTCGTAGTCCTTTAACCGCAAGAAACCGCCTAATGTAGACGCTTACGTTTATATTTAAAGCCGCCTGAAGTACTCTTAGCCTGGCTCAACTTAACAATTGGTTAAGACTGGCCCGAATAGTGCGCATAAAAAAACACATTACTGAGTAACGCCGAAGGCCTGTTCAGAGACAGATGTAGCTTAGGCTTTTGTCTCACTTACTCTCATCTGAGGCACCTCAGCGGATGTAGCCAATCT